CACAAGAAACACATATACATCCTCACTCACACATAAAACCGTAATCATACCTATTTTTCGGCACGATTCTTGTCAGACAGAAAAACAGTGACAAGATATCAGCTCTTCTGTTCTTTTATGTGCATGGCCAAACAGAAGGGACTTTCACAACAAGGAAACACGGTACTACACATTCCCTAGCATAAGCGGAAATTTGTGTGTCTAACCGGTTGACATATTGGAGGGAATTTGTGCTATCTTCAGTTTCCTGGCCTAGGTATAATGACACTGTTGAAAGAGGGACTGCAGAACAACATTTCCTAGCATAAGCGGAAATTTGTGTGTCTAACCGGTTGACATATTGGAGGGAATTTGTGCTATCTTCAGTTTCCTGGCCTAGGTATAATGACACTGTTGAAAGAGGGACTGCAGAACAACATTTCCTAGCATAAGCGGAAATTTGTGTGTGTCTAACCGGTTGACATATTGGAGGGAATTTGTGCTATCTTCAGTTTCCTGGCCTAGGTATAATGACACTGTTGAAAGAGGGACTGCAGAACAACATTTCCTAGCATAAGCGGAAATTTGTGTGTGTCTGGAATTTGTGTTATCTTCAGTTTCCTGGTCTAGGTAAAATTACAGTGTTCTCTGCTGCAGCTGTGCCATTCTAGGTTATTGTACCATACACTGACACTATAAAAACAACATTATAGTAGCTGGTCACTCGGACACTCTCTTTAGGGGTAGTGATTTGCATATTACATATACTGAGATCCATTGTCCATCTTGGTGAGTATTTTATCTCAATCAGCAAGCAAAGAGCGCCCAAAATAGTAAAATGCTTGAGACATTCATTTGTACATTGTATACGTACACAAATGAATAAAAATGGTGAGCGAAGAAAGCAAATACAACAATGCAATTTTACAGCAAAAAACTATCTTAGAGTTTACTGTACGTCAGAAGTATGGATAGTTTTACATTACTGTGTGTGCGCCTAACAATGATGATGATATCCTATTAACCATTGTTACTTGTATAAAGTTGGTAGTAACTTGGACACTCTCCCATACTGCCATCAAGCAACTGCAGCAGAGAAAAAATAGTAGAAAACCAGCATCAATGAAACTTCTACTTGATACCATACATACTCCAACCCTATATCTCATAAGTATGTCTTTGACACCAAGCGCATTGTACATTTGAGTTACTCAACAAGCTACTATAACATCTCATTTAGAGTTACAAAGACACCTCACCAGTTCATTGGCACACTTTCTGAAGCAGGTGTTGTAGTAGGTGAGCCCATTGCGGCCACACTGCAGGTCTTGGTCCTGCTCGGCACAGGAGGCACCGCAGGGAGTCACGCACTTACCCCGGAACACGAGGGGGTCCTCCGATCTCAGGGGGAGAGAGACCACATTTGACTGGTCAAACACCGGAACACACTGCTCTGGAGGCTGACATCTGCTCAAAGAGAAGGAAAAATTTATGTCAGCTTTTCTGCTCATTCTGGTCATCTGACAACTTTTGAGGCCTTATGAATAAGGAAATAAACATACAGATTCAAGCCATGCATTGTGTTTCACGGCCTATACACCAATCACCCTAAGCTACAAACTACATGTAGTACTGTTTACTACTAATACACAACACCCTAAAGGGGGAACGAGTTAACTGTGATCTTGACAACTCTCTATTTATTGTCACGAAAATTTTTACCTGAAGTTGTTGTCTTGGAAGTTTGCAGTGTCCACAAAGCAGGCAGTGTCCAACTTCTGGTAGGGGTAACAGTATCTCACGGTGTTTGACAGACTGATTGTACTGAGGTCACTCCCCTCAAAGGCCTCTTCATGGAGAGCTGCAATTATGTCCCCTGATAGAGGGGCAGTGCTCACAAATAGGTTGCTGATGTTGCCCTTGAAGCGGAAGAGCCCTGTACTTGGTCTCCCTCCAACGTAGAGTGTATTGAACTGAAGAGAAGAATGTCGGTAGTGACACACAATTACAGGGGAGCCTCTCTATTGTGAACACAGAGTGTACCTTAGCTTCAATGTGTGCCAGCACTTAAGTGCTTTTATTGGAAAGTTGCAGCATACTGTCCAATTAGATTTCTTATCTACTTGAGAAATGTCCTGCCATGCATTTCAGTACTGTACTTCGCAAATTTATAGTATCGGGCGCCAAACCACCAGAAGAGTCTTCTCTTCCAAATGAAGAAGGTCTGGTGTGCGAGACCTTCAACTTTAGAGAGTCTGGCAGGCGAGACCTTCAACTTTAGAGGGTCTGGCAGGCGAGACCAACTTTAGAGAGTCTGGCAGGTGAGACCTTCAACTTTAGAGAGTCTGGCAGGCGAGACCTTCAACTTTAGAGGGTCTGGCAGGCGAGACCTTCAACTTTAGAGAGTCTGGCAGGCGAGACCTTCAACTTTAGAGGGTCTGGCAGGCGAGACCTTCAACTTTAGAGGGTCTGGCAGGCGAGACCTTCAACTTTAGAGAGTCTGGCAGGCGAGACCTTCAACTTTAGAGAGTCTGGCAGGCGAGACCTTCAACTTTAGAGGGTCTGGCAGGCGAGACCAACTTTAGAGGTCTGGCAGGCGAGACCTTCAACTTTAGAGGGTCTGGCGGTCGAGCAACGTTTAGAGGGTTGAGTGCACGAGACTAACAAATACAGGGACTGTATACTCTTGCTGTCCTACTTACTTCTGGCAGAAATTCCGGTGTACTGGGTAAGGTTTTGCTACTGGCGGCCTTCCCATCAATATACAGAACAGCTCTGTTGAGAGAGTGGTCGATGACCGAGGCAACAGAGTGACAGCTCCCGTCTGCCACCAAGACATTGGTAAAGAACAGAATTTCTCGGAATCTCGAGTCGTTGTCATCGTCACCGTCACCAGCATCATCATTGTCACTGTAGCCATATGCCAGCCAGACCGTCTGTTTGCTACTGCGGAGGTAGAGTCCAAAATCACGGACTCTATCGTTGAGTCCTTTCCCGACGACGTAGCCGTCATTCCCCGGCTCCTGGCAGACGGTGGCAAAGATGGTGAGGTCAGAGGAGAGCTGGGGGTGCAGGGTGTTTGCCAGTGGGATGACAGTCCGACCGTTGAGCTCCATTGTGTTCTGCTGGAGGAACGTCGAGCCTCGCGACACCACCTCTCCAACGTGGTCGTAGTAGTTGGTCCCGTATCTCGGGAGAGGACTCCCGCAGAAATACGCTGAAGAGCAATCCTCGTCTGTATTACACTCTGGAAATATGATACTGTGCTCATATACATAATATGTCTATTAGTATTATGGCCTACTGTAAGCTGACTACCAAAGGTAGTTTAATATATGGTTTATAGAGTCACACAAACTAACCCAATGGTCTGGGCTGACACGTATACGTCCCGTCCATTTTAGGAAGACAGCGCAGACTGGGATCACATCTGGGAAAATTTATAACACCGTTTTTTTTAAGTAGAGAGATCACAAATAGTTTGCTCACTGGCCAAATACAGAGGAGCAGAGTAGTGATATAGGTTCCTCTGGTGGAGGGCAGTCCTCATCGAGCTGCAGATAGTTAACACACGCTCCCCTCGGCTCAACCAGTCCAGCGGTGTCGTTATGGTACGTCTCCACTTCAGTTAGTGACAATAATTCGTCTGGGATCACAAAGATGTGCTCTATGACGCCAGAGAACCTAAAGTGTCTCGGAGGCCTTGCACCAACATACAACACGGCAGGATTGTCATTGTTTACCTGATTTGCGAGAGAAACAATAACAACGAAATCAAAATCTGAATTGAAGGGTCTTACCCCATATGTGAAATCTGGGTTGCTCAGTACTACCGATGCTCCCTGTGTCTTGCCGTCAACGTAGAACCGTGCAACACTAGCAATAGTGTCAGTGGTGACTGCCAGAGAGTGAAACAACCCATCTGAAACGTCTATACCGACTCTCTCCTTGCGAGTACGGCCACCACGGTCTGTGTAAAAAAGCCAAATGATGTGCTTCGTGCCATCCAAAAAGATTGCCAGATTTCTGCTGTTTTCTGAGCTCCCATAGAAGAAGAGATATCCAGCGTTCCCCGGTGTGTGCTGAAAGTAGGCAAAGATTGACAGGCGAGTGGTCCCGAAATCTGGATAGAGACTGTCGCTGACTCTAATGAAAGACTCTCCTGTTAGAGTAACCCTGGCAGAGAGGAGTGCATAGTGTGTGGGGTAGTCATCAGATGCACAAGATATGTTGCAGAACCGTCCGACCCCGCACCCCCCACTGAGGCAGTCTCCGGACTCGACCAACTCACAGTTGGTTCCCTCAAAACCACTGGGGCACATACAGTTGGTCGCTGGACCAAAACCTTCAGTGCAGGTCCCTCCATTCTGGCAAACGTTTTCTTCCTCGCCACAGAAAGTGACGCTAGCATCGTCTTCCGAGCAAGTGTCCCCTGTGTATCCTCTTACGCAATCACAGCTGGTTTCGGGACCATGGCCCTCAATGCATGTCCCACCGTTGGCGCAGGAATTGCCTGGCTCATCACAGAAGAGTTCATTGGGATTGTCTTCTTGGCAAGAGGTCCCGGTGAACCCAGGTGCACAGCTGCAGCTGGTTTCTGGGCCAAACTCCTCGAGACAAGTCCCCCCATTCTGACAAAGGCTCTCGTTGCAGAACGTTTTGTTGGGGTCGTCTTCTGAACACGTGGGACCGTTAAAACCCGAGACACAATGACAACTTGTGGTGGGACCCATTTCCTCATTGCAAGTCCCGCCATTACTGCAAGAAGTGGAACTGCAAAACAGCTCATTAGGATCGTCTTCTGCACAGCTGTTACCTGTGTACCCACGGATGCACATGCAGCTTGTAGTGAGGCCATACCCTTCCTCACACGTGCCACCATTTTCACAAGTAGTGTCCATGCAAAACACTTGGCTTGGATCATCTTCTGTGCAATTGTATCCGGTGAACCCACGAACACATTCACAACTTGTTTCGACTCCATATCCTTCGACACAGGTACCTCCATTGAAGCAGTCTGGAGGATTAGTGATGCAGAATGTGTTGATGTCCTCTTCACAGAATGCACCGGTGAATCCCTCGGGGCAAGTGCAGGTAAAGTCCAAACCATTACCATCTGTGCAGGTTCCTCCATTTCTGCAGCTATCGATGCCACACAGGTCCAAATTTATCTCACACTTTTCCCCAGTATGGCCAGCCATGCATATGCATACGACTGAGTCACCAAATGTCTCCTGGCAGGTACCACCATGTATACAGGTGTCGTCAATACAGAAAGTGACACTGGGATCATCTTCAGAACAGTAATCTCCAGTGAAGCCACTAGTACAGCTGCAGTTGGTGGCCGTACCATAGCTCTCAATGCAAGTGCCTCCGTTTTCACAAAAGTTTAATGGTTCATCACAGAACGTTATTGCAGGGTCGTCCTCGGAGCAAAATAGTCCCATGAATCCACTAACACATTCGCACTCTGTATCTGGCCCATATAGCTCAAGGCAAGTTCCGCCATTCACACATTCGACCTCACTGCAGAACAGCTCTGTTGGGTCATCCTCAGTACATTGATTACCTCTGTAGCCACGGATGCATTCACAACTGGTCACATTACCAAATTCTTCAATGCAAGTTCCACCATTCAGACAAGAATCCCCTGAACAAAACAGCTCACTGGGATTGTCTTGTGTGCAGTCCTCCCCCATGAACCCACGTGCACATTCACAGCTTGTTTCGACTCCGTATCCTTCAACACAGCTACCTCCATTGAAGCAGTCTATAGGATTAGTGGTGCAGAATGTATCGATATCTTCCTCGCAGATCATGCCAGTGAAGCCTTCGACACAAGAACACGAGATTTCCTGACCAAAACCTTCGAAACAAGTACCGCCGTTTCTACAAGTGTCGTTCATACAGAAGGAAAGATCCGTCTCACATCTATCTCCGGCGTAGCCAGCTGCACACGTACAGTTGACAGAGTCTCCAAAGGCCTCTTCACAAGTGCCTCCATGTTGGCACACATCCTCGTGAATGCAGAAAATAACACCAGGATCATCATCCTGGCAGTGATCACCTGCATACCCACTAACACAAAAGCAGAGCGTTTCATCCCCGAACTCTTCAATGCAAGTTCCACCATTTGAGCACATGTTGGCACTCTCTCCACAAAACAGCTCGTTTGGATCATCATCGGTGCAGTTTGCTCCTGTGAAACCTGTGATGCACGAACAGTTGGTTGCTGGACCAAAGTCTTCGAAACAAGATCCACCATTTGCACAGTAACTGTCTTGGCAAAACAACTCAGTTGGATCATCGTTTTCACAACTCTCTCCTGTGTAGCCACTAATGCAGTCACAACTGGTCGAGTCTCCCATGCCTTCCTGGCAAGTGCCTCCATTTCCACAGAACCTTTCAGAACAGAAAAGTACACTTGGATCATCCTCTTCGCAGCGATCACCGGCATACCCACGAACGCAATCACAGCGTGTTTCATCCCCAAATTCTTCAATGCAAGTTCCGTCATTTGAGCACATGTTGGCACTCTCTCCACAAAACAGCTCGTTTGGATCATCATCGGTGCAGTTTGCTCCTGTGAAACCTGGGACGCACGAACAGTTGGTTGCTGGACCAAACTCTTCGAAACAAGATCCGCCATTTGCACAGTAGCTGTCTTGGCAAAACAACTCAGTCGGATCATCATCCTGACACTGGTCTCCCATAAAGCCTTGAACACAGCTACAGTTTGTCTGATCCCCCACACCCTCCACACAAGTACCTCCATTGAAACACTCGGTCAGCAGGCAGAAAGTATCGATATCTTCCTCGCACATGCTCCCCGTAAAACCACTAGGACAGAGGCACATTACATCAAGTTCACCTCCACCTTCCTGCTCAATGCAAGTTCCTCCGTTCATGCAAGCTTCGTCGTGGCATATGACCATCGTACATGCAGGACCAGTATACCCCGGAGGACACATACACACTGTACTATCACCGAATGCTTCCTCGCACGTCCCTCCATTTGAGCATGTGTTGTCACCGCAAAACAACACACTCGAATCGTCTTCTTCGCAGCTTTCTCCCGAGTATCCAAGCGTGCAGTTGCAGGTGGTTTGAGCTCCATGGCCGTCCACGCAGACACCGTACAAGCACCTACCGAGTAAATCCTCACAGAAGTCGAGATCACTCTCGCAGTCCGGACCACTGAAACCGTTTGGACATTGACACTCGTATGAACCATCCAGATTTGTGCAATTTCCCCCATTTTGGCAAGGGCTACTATCAGTACACTCATTAATATCCTCTGTGCAAGTTGGCCCTGTCCAGCCCATGGGACACTCACAGGAAAACAATATGATGCCCAATGAACTGCAAGTGCCACCATTTGCACATGGGTTTGGATCACAAGAATCAATCAGTTCCATACAAGTCGTACCAGTAAACCCTGAGGGACACTCACAAGAAAATTCACCAAACGGCTCGTTGGTACAAGTACCACCATTGACGCAAGGACTAGATTCGCAAGCCATTATACTGTCGGCACATGTTTGGCCGGTAAATCCAGCAAGACAGTGGCAGGTAAAGGTACCATTGCCATCTTCACAAGAGACGCTGACAAGTGGGGCACAAGGTGTGCTGGCACAGTCATTAATGACTTGGTCACAGTGCTGTCCAGTGTAATCCGGAAAGCATTGGCACATGTAGTCATTCACAAGATCAGTACATGTCCCGTTGTTGCAGTCTGCAGTGTGACACTCGTTGATTTCCTGGTCACAGAGAGTACCATTGAAGCCAGGGTCACAGTCACAGGTGTAGTTTGCAATACCATCTACACAAGTACCGTTGACACATTCACTACCAGGACAGTCATCAATATTCTCATCACAATCCGTTCCTGTGAATCCAGTGAAGCACTCACAGGAGTACTCGCCGCTAATATTAGGTGTACAAGATCCATTGACACACGGCTCAAAGACAAGGCAGGCATCACCAACTTCACCGCATGTATCTCCCGTGTAGCCTTCAATACAGTGGCACACGTATTCTGCTGGGCTAATAGTTTCACACGAGGCAAGGTTTTGACAGGGCTCGAGAGCGAGGCACGGATCTTGAACGTCATCGCAGTTACTCCCGGTGTAGCCAGGTGCACAGAAGCAGGTGTAGACTGTACTACTGAGACTGTCACATGTTCCTTCGTTGAGACATGGCATGTCGTCACAAGCATCTAGTGGTTGAATGAACATAGGTTTTTGCAACTGAACTTATACTGTCTACAGCAGTTCAATCGTGCACCTAATGTAATGGAATCGCCAGCATTGTGCCTTCAGGCTGTCTCAGAGAAAAAGTTACTAAACCTTCATTAATGGTGTTACAAACATCCGTACACTAAGATGGCGCCGCAAACATTAAGCTGGACAATTCAACAAAATTATGCTGCAGTGCATACTAACTCACTTGGTGTATTCATTATCGACCCCACGGCTACTGACAATTCTTGAATAGCCATATCTGGAAAGTAGAGTCCGACCAGAGACAGATCAATGTCTAGCTCCACTGGATAATCGCTCTCTTCAAACTCTGTGGCCGGGTCCTCCACTAGGTTGATTGATACGTCAAACACATAATGATCGCCGTTGGATACAAGATCTGCTGTTGTTATGCCAATCCTGTTGTTACTGCCACCTTCAAACTCAAACAGGTTATTGATGTGTCCGGTCTGCGAGAGACTGATGAACAGGTCGAGGAGGTCGTCAATGGAGCTGACAATGACCCTGATGCTAAAGACCGGAGTGTTGAGTGGGAAGTCACTGTATATCTCTGCAAAGTACACTGTGGCATTCATGGCTACAGTGTACCCAGATGGCACTATATAGAAGAATTGGAAGGTTATAGGGACAGATACCAATCAGATCAACAATATATTATCACACACAACAGAAATATAGGATGACTTTGTGATTTCATACGGTTGATAAAATACAACTTTACACTTAACCATGCTATTCAGATGATCGGTTAGCCTGTATTCCCCCCATACTCAATAAAAGTGAAAATTTAGGCCGCGGCTACTTTTCGCTGTTACACGTACTCTCTATATTCACGTATCCTCAAGAAATAGCGTGGTTCAAAACTTACATTGCTGGCATTGTTCAGTGGTGCCATTACCAAACTGTCCATCGGGACAGGTCTCCACACAACGACCAGCACTCTCATACAGAGGAAGACCACAGGCTGCGAAGAGATAGACATTAGCCCCATGTTAAGGAGGAACATATACAAACTCAGGCTCATTAACACAACAATTGGGGATATTATGAAAACAAATTTTATTGGAGCATCAGATGTAAATGCAGTAGATCTGTAGACAGAAATAAATGTGCAGAACTAGTGACAGTCTGCTAAGACATTCTTATGGTGTAAGTGTTTGTGTGTTGTCACTGATATTAAATTCATGGACTGGAACTTGTAGTTGCAAATGTAAACAAATGCTCAACTTACTATGCAAAACGTCTGTCTCAATGGTGGCATAGAATTCACTGATTCCCCCCGAATTCTGAACAACGACAGCAAACCTGAAGCAAAAATCAACAACACGTGGTTGCTGCTAAAAACAGCCAAAGATAGTATATCTAGCTACGTAACTCATAGCAACTTTCTCTAGCTTCATGCTCAAGTTTTTTTCTAAACTCTTACACAGAAGCTAAGAGAGTGGGGATGAAGCTTACAGAAAGATGATTTCACCAATTCCCTCTGATGGGGCAGTCCACCTCAGTTCCACTGAGCTCTTGAGGTCAGGATTGGGATGAGTCACAGCGGACTGCAGGGAAAGGCATTAGTGTTGAGCTCTGTGTATACATTATAGTGAAGCGGCACAAAATTTGTATTACTATATTGAACCTTATGCATCTTTGCAGTTTACTGTACACAGATATTGTATTATGTTCCATTTTCCATTTTCGTGTATATAATACATTACTTAAACTGAAAATTGATCTAGTTCATAATTTCAACTCAACATGGCATATGGGTAACAACAGCAAAGACATAGCTGTGACCTTAGTTGCCTAGTCTAAAATAGTTCCCTGCTTTCCTGCTAGTACAGTATGTTAACATAAGACTTACAACTTGAGGGTTGCAAGAGCTGAGTGTCTGGTCATCTCCATTGTCAATGAAGGTACCAACTGGAGAACCATCTGCCACAGCTCTGGCCTGTACTAGAAATCCTCTGAACTGCTCACCTCCTGATCCTGACAGAGTCACTGCAGCACATGCCATACATTCATCCTCTGACAGACTGAGGCAGAGCTGGATGTGACTCACAGGTGTAGTCCTGTCCAGGGACATAGTAGATCTCTCCTCCGTAAGTCTGGTCAAAGTCAGAGAGGGACAACTGGAAGGGGTTAGTGGAGGGATCTTGGGAGGTTCCTAGATGTCCCACTGGGTAGATGTCAATACATGCACTGGCTGGAGCTCCAGTTGAGTAGCACTGAACTCCCACCACTAGTGACAGTAGGAGACACACCAACCACTGCAACTGCATCCTAGAATTGTATGGGGAAAAGGTATATATAAGGTTATTACTTTCCTTGGTTTGCTGGGGAATTTCGCCGATGATCCGACAGCTACGACAGCAGCAGCTAGCTGACCCTCGTGGCTCGTGTCCGGTCCAGCCCCACCCACACTCTTGCAAAAACTCGCGCGCGAACTCCAGGGCCTTCGATATGCCCGCTGTTACTTATACGCTTTACTTACGTTCTGACAGTTGCTACAGATCCACAGAGTCTTCTGCGTCTGGTTTACCGAAGAGAGTTGCACGCACACCCTCCTTCCAAAAGTGGGCCTGTTCCGGGGCGTGTGCTCGCTAGCTGATCGTGGCGCCCGCGCAAATATAAGTACATATTCACGAAGAGCATGCGCAGTGCGAACAGGCCGCAGCGTCCACCAGCAATGCATGTTCAGTCAAAGATGTGTGAAAAACAATGTAACTCTAACAAAGGTACTTGAAAATCATGCTGTTGCATAGCACACTTAGAGCTCCTCTTCCAAATCCAAACACCATGGTCGTATATTATTGCCAGTTATAATATGCTGCCCAACTCGTCGTTTAGTCTACCAAATGAACTAACCCACACTCAGTTTCAAGGGGGCACTGCATGGCTCCAAGCATGAATAATTATTATAGATACCTAGTGAATTAACGGTGGAGCATTGCTACGGTTGTATAGGTATATACCTCACAGTGAGAGATATTTACACCAACAAAAACTCTTAAATCATCAGGGCATCATCAATACAACGACGTGATAATTATAGTATTCATATATACATACATAGCAAGTTAGTGTTTTTTCAGTCGCTAGTCAGATAGACAATTATATATCAGTAGAGAGAGAGTTCCACGTAGCGGTTCCCAATGAACTTTCCGTTCTTCTCCTTGATGGCCTGGTTGGCCAGTCCACGAGAGGAGAAGGTGACGTAGGCGATGCCAGTTGCCCGACCACTGCTGTCGTGAACTATCTCACAATCCCTCTCTCTCACCTGGAGGTACAACAGATTGTTGTGCTCTAATTCCTTCGCTCAAAGTCATTATCTGAAATAACATGGGTGTGTTCTGTATACCACAAAGCCTCGTGTAGATTTCACCGGAGGTATTAGCCATTTCTCATGAAAGTATAAACTTTGCCAGTTGCTGCTTTTCAGACCCCAACCAACACACATGGACCGCATGCAAAAATCGTGTAAACAAAAGTCATGCTATACAGGACTTGCCAGTGTGCTCAGCTACAGATCTTACGTCGTAGTCGTCAAAGAAGTTCACCAGCTGCCCCACAGAGGTGCTGTAGGGAAGGCCCCAGACTTTGACGATGGCGCCACCGCCACTGTTGTGTCTTTGTCTCCCTCCCCTCCCTCCTCCTCCTCCCCTGTATGCCCCACTGCTCCCTCCTCTATAGCCACCTCCCCCTCCTCCTGCTCCTCCACCCCCTCCTCCTCCTCCACCCCCTCCTCCCCCTCCTCCTCCACTGCTACCTTCTGCCAGAGCATGGGCCACATCGTCTCCCGTACACTGCAACAGGATGACATACAGCACTTAACATAGCATGCACAACGCTCACTCAGTGCAGTGCAGAAAACCTTCCTACTTTCTAGATTTTAGAGCCACACACAAAGGTTTTCAGAGAAGAGCACCTTAAAATTACTAAGGCAATATATTATTATGCAGAAGGGAAATCTTTTCCATACTTTACCTTCCTTGCAGTTAGTATGCTAAAGATGTTTAGTATCCTTAACATACAGTGTAGTTAGTGCACTGAAGATGTTTATATACAGTATGCTGTTTACCGCAAAGATTTCAATGTATCTGTGTCCCATGTTTCTCTTGTGGAGTCTGCGTGCCACACGATCAGCCGCTTCCTCTGACAACATCTGAACATAGCAGTCACCCGTGGCTCTATTCTGCAGGATGGAAGAAACATATCAGACAATGGCTAACATACAAGAATGAAGGCATAATGGTGTAGTGGTGCGTATGTGTACTGGTGATGGCAAAGCTGTGTGGACACTCACTCAACTGGGCATGGCTTTCGGCAAGAAAGACCAATTTCAAAGTTCTAAAGGCAGGCAAAAAATCCCAAAAAAATACAAGGTATATACATTACAAAACATGGAGTTTGATTGTCATAAAATTGTACCATTGGACCTATTAGAAAGCCTAGCAAGTTCTTAGCAAGAACAAAGAACATTTCGTAGATAAAAATTTCCTGCATGGCTTGTTGCGCTGCACAAGTGGCTCGTGCCCACAACAGAACACAGAACACACCACCAAAATTACGAAAAAAAAGGTGGACAAGTAGGCAACTACGGGTATGTGCAACAAGACAAAGTTTTTTCATCAACAACAGTGGCCAAAAGTGGCCGACATCTTTTGCAGAGGCGACCTACCATGGCATTGAGGACCATGTGTACTCCATGTGGGGCAATATCAGACCCAAGGTCTCCAAAGAACTCTATGACCTCCTCGGCAGTTGATGACCAGGGGAGTCCTCGCAGCTTCACGCAGTTCCTGTCACTGCCACGGACCACAACCTCATCCTTGTACATCCCGCTGCCCACCACGTTGAGGCCCAGGAGGTCGATGAAGTGGTGCTGCTGGGCCACTGAGCCAGAGCGAGACAGGACCTGCAACACCCACAGACAGACAGTATGCCAATACTGACTAACCCCATTTCAATGTTTTGTTTTGGTACACATTCAACTGACACCGCCAACTGTACTGTGGACTGTATGACTGCGCTCATAAACGGTAGTCTCGCCTAGAACCACAGAGACCACGCACTCCTACTGCACTCTTAACCGTTTTATCTAACGAGCGGAGTTCTAGAAGCCATCAACTGCGAGAGGGGAAAACTTACCACCGTAAAGTCTAGAATCCGAGCAGACGACAGAGCTTGAACGCACCCACGCGTACAACCTTGCGCTTTAATTGGAATTTCCAACGCGGCCTACGCGCATGCGTATATACCATCTGGAACTCCTTGAGAGAGCTGGCGAAGAGCTCCACGTAGCGGGAGCCCATTGACTGTTTATTCTTTTCCAGGACCCGCTCCATGTCTCGGTCGTTATCGAAGAGAACCATAGCATCTCCGGTGGCTCGTCCGTCAGCGTATCTCACAATCATGACGCCGTCCTTACCGTCCTTGACTGGGGCATCTTGCCCAAAGAAATCCACCTGTTGGTATACGTGAGGTGTTGGGTGTGAGAGGACACTGGTAAATAGTGGAAGAGAGAGAGACCGAGAGTATTGAAGTAAACTGGCTGACCTGGCAATGTGTGGGAAGGTGGCCATGGTCTTGACCTCACCACTACCCACACCTCCACACACTCACCTCCTCACACCATCTTTCCCCCACCCTCTTCCCTAACGCCACCTCTCCTACCTCACTGGTCCACAGTTCACCCACCCACCCTCTCCTCCCCACACTCAACTACACACACTACCAATCCACCCCAATAACAGCACACCTCCACCCTTTACGAACCAATACACCTCCACTCGTCCCCATTACACCTCCGCTCCTCTCCTTTCACACCAGCACACCTCCACTCCTCCCCATTCACATCCCCACGCCGGCACACCCTCACCAATCCACCACAGACCCTCCCTTACTATGTCCTCTTCGTTGGCGCGGTACGGAAGCCCCTGCATGCGGACCACGGCTATATCGCCGCCGTGGACCGGGGTGCTGTCTTTGCTACCAACCAGTCTCAGGAAGTCGTCTGGCGTCGTCTCGTACACCTGCAGTAACAACACCCAACGTCACACCTTATATGAGGCTAACTGTTGGCACCCATCCATGGCAATACGCCTAACTCGTGTGTTTTGCCGGCTTTAGTTGGAACAATTCAGCAAATCTCCAACACAACAACATTTCAGACAGACTGTATTATAAACCAATACATAGGCGTGCATGTATCTTGAGACTTTAAAACATGCAAGGGCTGAATTTCAAACCCACGACAAGCAATACATTCGTAGGTGTGCCGGTTTTTTTGAGGGCTCAAACATGCACATATCTTACAAGGGCTGGATTTCAATACATGTGTCCATGAACATGTACATAACAAATCTCTAAGACAGAAACGGTGACCTGCAGACCTCAATGTATCGAGACTCCAGGTAGTACTTGTGTCTCTTGATGGCAAGCTCAGCAAACTCTGGTGTCTCCAACACCACAATGGCCTCTCCGGTCCTCCGGCCAACGGAACTTATACCAAACACTATCCCTCCCCTGCAGACATTACACATACATTGTAGTACAGTGCCCAGCAAGATCAAAGGAAAAACTGTTACTACATATAGTGCAGCTGGGCCAAGAGCTGATAAGACCAGACAATGCTTGGGGAAGTTCTCGAAGCTCATGTAGCACTCGCGCTGCGCGCTCGTGCTACATGACCTTCTTGAACTCCCCGCGCCCAAATATTTCCCATGTAGTACTCGCGCCGGTGCTTTAACTAGTACATATCAAGAAGAATCGCTAACTATTTTACATACACACAGCAACACATGTACTTAAGCAAGAGCGTTAGCTTGGTTGCATGAGGGCTAGAGGTCTATGTAAAGTTACTGCAAACATGCTATCCCATAAACTGTTTGTACGCTCGCTTTCATTTTCATGCTTCAAAGGTCTGCTAGGTAAAGGGGAGCTAGTTGTCATGGCTGCTCTTGTAGCACGCTAGAGTTCCCTACGACAGCAGAATCCACCACCATCAACATTATGCATACTAAAAACACACATGGAGTTTCCGCTGAATTATTTCTTCCTTCATACATGCATTACCTGCTAATTCCCGCCCACGGCAGCTCTTTTTGTTTCATACCTATTATATTATATACATATACTTGCCTCGTATTGATATATGATTCATGCCACATGCATGTGTGTGTGTGTGTGTGTGTGTGTCAGTTCCAGCCAGGACTTACGGGATGATGTTGAGACCAGCGAGGAACTTGGCCACGTGCTCAGTGTTGGCCTGATAGGGGAGCCCCCGCATTCTCACCACGTTTCCCTCCTCCACCAGAGACGTGCTGCAGACAGACAGAGAGAGAGCAATCAGGTTCAGTGTAATAAGGGGGGCACCCTTTCAGGTGAGAACACTACACAATCACATAGAGTGAAGGTATGGGACAATAAACTTAACTCCTTGTAGGCATCTGTTTAGCCCATGCATGCTGAAGGAGCCACTTGCTAAAGCGCCTACGACAAGACTAGCCTAATACATGCATAGAATTTTGAACCAAGATCAACATGCCCTACTATTTCTAGAGTTTTTAGATTCAACTCAGAAGAGAGAGTGCCATTTCAAGGATGCTGGACTTTCGTGGGACAGTTCCACAGCACAAAGGGGCTCTCAGGAAGCACATGTGTGCATGCTTACTACTGGCACGGAAGTGTGCCATGTTGACAAAGGTTTTAAATTACTTTATTGAACTGTGGGAACGATTTTGAAGCTAATTGCTTGAAGCTAATTGTGGGCAACCAGCTATAGACCCTTTTAACCAACATCCACCAGTCTAATACACAGGTATGCCTGAAAATATGTAGTCAGTGATCTACGTCAGTCGCTCCAAAAAGCCATCTTGTCAGATTCCAAATAACAGGACAGACAGCCAGCCAGACCACAGGCCATAAAGTAATTTGCTGTCAACTGACTAGTACCACTGAGGTGCTAACACAATAGGACTCTACGTTCCGAGTGACCTCGACCAGAACTATCACGCTCCAATATCAATATAGGAAACCAACCAGTGAAAAAGGACACTCAGATACAAATGCTCCAGCAAGTAAAAACTACGGTACCAGTCAGAAAAAACGCACCAAAACTACACTGTGTTTTTTTGTAGATACAACAAGACTACACGGTGTAGTTCCAACACCTTGAAATACACTACATTACGATTGTTGTAGTGTAAACCCTGTGTAACTGTATATTGTATCGGTAGCTACACTGATGCTACAATGTCACTACACTAATACTACAAAGTAGGTATATACACTGTTACCACGACTACAATTGATTGTGGGTAGATAATTGCTACATGCTATTACTACAATTGGTTTTAGCAGTGCAAACATTGTAGCAGTTAAGAGTATAAAGCCAGGTGCTTAAATTTGACTGGCAAAGAGTGACAGCCAACAGTCTCCAACGTTAGTGAAACATTAGTGGAACTTTATTGTAGTAAGTACCTCTCTTCCGCACGTTTTCGTAGCGTTTAGTTGCTCTACATAAGTAAAAAGTTAATTATGCTTAATAACTGGCAGGATCGGTTAAGATGGTGCTCTCTACCTATGAAAAGCAGCGTATTTT